CCCCCATGAGTGTTCGCTTTGCTAAAGTTCTCATTACCTGAGGGAGACAAGAGCGGGAGAAGTCTCATTTTAGCACAATTTCAGATGCCAGGTAACCAGAGCTTATATCTCTATATTCAACGTTTCAGATGCAATCTCCCCCACACCCTCTACTCCTGGTTATGAAATACCCCCTCCCCTGCCCCTCCCACCCTCCCCTGCAAAATACGTTGGCTTTTCTCCCTTGGATAATCTCACATCATCACATCAGGCCGGTTGTATTGATTTCTGGGGAAAGTAGTCCTAAATTGCTCTTCCTTTGTCAATCTGAGGCTTGTTACCAGGCAACAGTGTGACCCAACTCTCTTAAGCCCACCCCCCACCCCCCCAAAACCCCAAACCAACACACACACACACGGACAAACACACATGTTCAATTACAGTCTTGACTCAATGCCAAAAATGCAACTGGAGCGCACCTTCTCCTCTTCTAATGTGAGACTTGAAACAGTGACGGTGACACTGAATCAGGATGGAAGGAAGAACAAAATGTTTTTTTTTTCCTGTCACTGATATTCCATCCATCTACAGTTACTTATTTTAAAATACCCTGCATGAAACACATTTACTTTTGATGTGTGTTGAAATCCAACCCCAACAACTTGAGCTGATGTCATGGGACCCAAACACTCAAATGTTTTCTCCGTCTCCCTTTTTGATTAAAATGGGTTGGGGCAACTTTGTGGCATCTTGATGAATGATGAAAATAATGGGCGGAATTTTCTAGTTGGAATCAATGTAGTTCACGTAACAATTTAATAGCATAAACGTGCCGCTGCAGGCCATTTAGTTAAATATTGTGTTTCGTGTTAAAAGTGATGACTGTCAAGACAATTTTCCTAAGACGGAATTCTCGCTGGGACAAATTGTCTCTGGCTTTATTTGATAAATTGAGCAAATATTCAAATGCAATTATTCAAATAAAACTCAACGTATTAATCACATTTGGACAACGCCGCTCTGTTCTCCGCACTCATTTATCATTTGTCACTGCTCAAATCCTTCCACTCCAAACTGGGAACTCGTTTTCGTCATTTCGCTCTAATTCAAATATTCAATCTTAAATGCATCAGATGGCTGCATGCGTGCGTACATATTTGCAGGGGGTGGGTGGCCGGCGGGCTGCAGGGGTTGTCGCAGGATGGGGCGTGGTGGGAGTAAATTGTGGACCACCTGCTTCTGTCACCTGGGACGCGCCTTACATGATGGAGCCAAATGCTGGAGATTGAAATCACGTGACGACATACAGGCTGCTCGGCCCAAAGAAATCTACAATTTGGGCAAAGAATGTATGAAAGAATAGGATTTTTTTTTTTCATTCCTTGTGCAGCATCTTCCTTCCAAAAGTCATTCCAAAACAGAGAAAAAAGGAAGGGAAATAAAATGTTGGTTTCAACAGGGGAACAAAGACCTATCTGCAGTGTCCTGAATTAATATCTCATTATGGTTCCGCATCATCATATTTTGGCTGATGTTAAAGAGACAGGAGATTATACTAATTACATATCGCATAGTGGGAAACGTCTCCACCAGTGATGAGTCCGACTGCTCACTGGGAAGCGTTGCTGCCGTTTTTTCAGACAAATTGGCTTCAGAGTGAAAACCAAGAAAGAAAAAACGAAACAATTGAATAAATTAGACTCCGTCTTTATCTACTTGTTTCTCGCTGCCGATGCAAGGGATTTGTTTTGGGGGAGCTCATCCGAAAGAAACACCGATTCCGAATGACGTTCCTGTATCGCTGGTTTCTATCATGATCTGCTTCAGTGTGAGGAAAAAAATCCTTGGTGTTCATTAAAAGATCTCTGTATTCATACACATTCCTGGATTTCTTCATGTCACAGGGGCTTTATCTCCTCTTCGCTGCACACGTTCAAAACACAAAAGTGGAAGGAGAGGGAAAAAAAAAGGAAAAAGGAAAAGAAATCCCTCAATATCACACCGTTCCACTTTTGAAACTGGCTCCTTTTAGATGATTCTCTCTCTCTCTCTCTCTCTCTTCCTATGTCTGCCTGTCTGCCTGCATGGCGGGGAGGCTGCCTTGATAGCCTCAGGCTGCACTCCTCTGTATGTATCTGATCCAGGCCTAATGAAGCTGAAAGCCTGGCAGTTGTGTGGAGCATCTGCAGAGCCACAGAGTGATGGGCATCTCATTCTGCTGCTGTGTCCCAGGGGGTCACACACATCTGAGGGCCATGCCTGCTGTATGCACAGTGATTCTCTGCCCCCATGTATCTGTGCTGCAGAAGGTCATGCCACATATGCTGTATAGATGCCATCTGGAATGTCCTCCTGACTGCCGTAGCATCTCTGTCCTGCCACCCCCGGACTGGTGATCTGACCAGGCTCAGAGCTTGACCTAATGGAAGATTTCACGAGCTGTTCTTTTTTTTTTTTTTTTGTGTTTTACTGCATACCGCCACATGACCTGTTAAGTTTCACTCTAAACTACGAGTGCAGCAGACAGACAGTACTGGTTTATTTAAGACACACTGCCTGGTTGAAACCCTTATTCATAAAAGATCATTATTCTATTTTTAAACCTGAACAAAATTGGAAACAAATACTGCCAATACAGTTCATTCCAGAGAACGTCAATATATTGATATTTTCCACTATGTGACATGTTGTTTTCTTTTAGTTTGAATTTAAAATGATTTAGTACATTTTACCTGTTGTGCTAATATAATTGTTAAATATAATTACAAATACTTTTGTAATTATTATTAATTACTTTTGTTGGTTTCATAGTCAAGCGGTTAGCACACCTGCCTCGGAGCAGAGAGCAGGGGGTCCTGGGTTTGATTCCCAAAGGAATGCTGTTATCACAAGAATTTCCCAAATTGGGAATTGTAAACTACTGTGCATTTGTATTTTTTTGTGTATTTGCCTGTTTTATGTTTAATACTCAGTATAAACAACTACTATGTTTTTTTTTTTTACTGTGACAGTTGACAAATACCTTTTGAATCTTAAATCATTCCCTTTCTGGTTTATAGGCTACTTAGCTGTTAGCAGGTAAGCTAACTCACCCATTCAATATTTCAAACACTTTTGTGCTTTATAAAATTAGCAAGTATGATTGACATGATACAAAAATGTAAATACTGTATATTCTGTGTTTTAATGATTGACATGATACAAAAATGTAAATATTCTGTGTTTTTTATGTTTATTTTTAAGTGAAAACGTAGGATATGTTGTTACCGCTACTTCCTTGTCAGAGCCCCTGAGGTAGTTAGCTAAGAGCTAGTTAGTTAGTCGACAACAGTGACTTTTTACTTTACACATTCTGTATATTGTATAGTCATTTTTTACTTTGTGAGCACAGTTTAGCTACAGTTCTACTGCATTACTTAGACGTGCTACACTGACATTGTCAGGAACTATTTCATCGGGGCTAACGTGCTAAGCTGTGCCGTAACATTTGAGGGGAATCAATCAATTTTTCTTCAATCGTCTACAAGGAGAAAAATCAGCATAGAGTGTATGTGACTCGAGTAACAAGAGAAAGTTCCCAACAGTACTTATTCCAAGGTTGTCTAATATTTTATATTCCAACCGTTTCCTTCATGGAAAATACATTTGTGCTCCTCCACTTTCCCCCCCTCGCTCTCGTTCTCTTCCCTTTTTTAATACTATTTATTCTTTCATGTTGACACTTCCCAGTTTCCAAGATTGAGAGATGATTAAATTACAGACATTAATATGGCAAGTGAGTCTCATGCAACTGGGTTTGGGCTGCTACACCCTATACATCTAAATATAGATTTAATAACACTGCCTGTTTTTTCATTAGCAGCCCAGAATGCTTACAGTGCAATCGGCTGCTCCCTCTCCTTCTCTTTGCATACAAACATCAAGATACTTGCTGGGAAATGAAAAGAAGAACCGTAGTTTTGTCTCCTACTTGGTCTTTGTCTGTAACGAGCCGAGGCGCAGCGGTAGAATGTGAATGTCTGACCATTTTGTTTTTTCGAGCTACATTAAGCACAGAGCTACCAGAGATACTCCTTGGCAGGTTTCGTAAGAGTGGAGTCATAAATGAGGACCTTTAACCAGAGGTTGTACCACAGCCAGCACTCTTAGGCAAAATGACTTACTGATAGGCCTATTTTTTTTCCCCCTGCCTACTCTGGGAAAACGTTTCTCATCTTCATTTTCTCATCTGCATCCCTTTAATGACACGAGCTCACGTTTCCAAATAACCTCGGGATCGGACAGATATTGCGGGGCGGACAGATATCACGCAGGACAGGAGCTGATATATTTACTCCGAGCTGAAAATATCCTGCTGTGAATGTTGTGCCAGGAAGCTTTAACATCACTGGATTGCTCACTGGATTCTAATGTCAATTAGTGGAGATTACCTCAGAGGAAATCAAATTACCTTCCCAGATCTGAAGGTATTATTTATCAAAATTTGCACATGTGCAACACCATGAATTCATAACGGTGCCTTTCAGCCGCTGCATCGCCGCGCTCTGTCAGCTGAGTGTATAGACAGCCGGAGGATCTGTTTACGTGCCGCCTCCATAGGGTATATTGAATGTGTCTCACCCACTGTCTTTTATGGAACATCTTCCAGCAGCTTCCTAATTACCTTTGGTTTTATGGTCAGACCTATGTCAGTCCCCTGCTCAATTTGTCCCTGTGAAATATGGCCTGGCCTTGGGTTCAAGTAGGGGAGAAAACACGGCACATTGATTAATCAAGGCACGCAGGTCCAACCTCTGTTCTTAGAGAAGTCAATCCAATGACATGTTTTCACCTGGGGCACATTCCGGGAGTCTGAAGTTGCTTCCTCTCTGTAATTAATTTTCTTATATCTTTCCTTCATCTTTATCCCCAATACAATTTCCTTGAGGTAAATGATAATGCCGAATCCTGAGACAATTGAAAAGTAAATTATGCAAACACACCGATGCTAACGCAGCATGTTTTGGTCGTTCCCCGCTTAGGTGCTGTTCACTGACTGTGACCAGGAGAGGACACAAAGGAAAGGAATGTGGCCTCGGGCCTGCAGGACAGATGATGTTTCAGTGGTCTCTGGAAGTGATGCCCCCAGAGGACAACGGAGGAGTGCATGAGGTAAACACACAGTAAACACACTTGGTTTTGTCATAGATGTAGAAATAACAGGCCTGGTTGACTTTTAGTGTCGTCGGATAAACACAAATCTGCTTTTGCATTGTTACGGAGCACAATCCTAGTCGACATTTGTGTTGTTTTGTAAAACTAAAAGGAATGAAGCCGAGATGTTTTTTGCATTATCTGTTTTTTTTAATATTCCTTTGAGCTCAGGGAGCGTAATGATCAAATTAAAATAAGAGTGAAGCAGCACTAAGATCAGAAAACACAACTAAATGAAATAGGTATGGTTGATAAAATGAAGAAATGGAAACATTCGCAGCATGGGGGGGGGGGGGGGGGGGGGGT